TCACCTACTCAAAGTTAGCACTAAGCCTTGCTCTCTCAATTCATTTGAGTCATTCCACTGGGTCAGATTGATTCCTGTTGTAACTCCATTGATCTGAGTTCAGATAAACTGGGCATGTATTTAGCCTCATGTGACCAATTTGCCCCCAATATAGCAATGATCTATCCAATTATATCATACAGAAATTGGTCCATAAATTTCCATAAATGCTGTACCATGGGGCTGTAGAAAGTGTAAAAGACTTGAAGACCTTTAGGGTCCAATCTTGGTTTAGATTCATTGTATGATTGTGGGCACTTCAATGGAGGAGTGGAAACCTACCCTACTTTAAGCTACAGGAGTTTTGCAATTGACTTTGAAGGAGCCAGAATTTCAAACTTTATTTAACTGTGATTAACTTCTGCTGTATAAAACAGGTAAAGTTATGCTCATTTTTGTGAAGTACTTATCAGAGACCTACTGAAAAGTGCTGAATAAGTCCTTGTTTATTAGTAGTATTTCTCCAGGCTGTATGTAACTGAATTTGGCAAAGTATGTTTGGGGAAGAGGCAGTATAGACATAAATATAACCTAGACTGCATTACTTAATAGTGAAAAGAGTGTCACTTAATTTAATTTTCAAAACCTTTAACATTAGTATTTGGAAACAAAAATATTGAAGATGAGATGTGGGCGTGTAACCAGGCTATTCATGTCCAAGTGACTTTTTCAGATCCTGCCAGGGTTGGTAGTGACTGAAAATTATTATACCTGTTGGTTGGTTTGATGATTAAATATGTATGTGTTCTCAGTACTCTCTTAAATACTGCCACCACCTCTTTTAGGGTTTTTCCTTCTTTATTTGTCCCTAACTCTCATTGACTGAACTTGCTTTCCCACATGCTTTTCAAGCCTCCCAGTCGCATGCCCAGACCATCTCAATCTGTCCTTACTCAGCTTTTCCTCTATTAATGCTGCCTTTGCTTATTACCATACTTCCACGTTTCTTACATGATCTTTCTTGCTGACTCCACAAATCCACCTCTATTCTCATCTCCATCACCCTTATCATGAACAGCTATCTTTTTTTTTCATTGCACAAAATTCTAATCTAGGGATGTGAAAAGTCAGATGTATAGTCTATGAACTTGATCAGAGCCATACCATGTGGCCCGTGGGGCTCCCAGAGGGGAAGGGCAAGCAGGAGCAGGGTCCGCTGCTGAAAACCAGGGATAGTGCCCCAGTGGGGATGTGTGGCAATGGCTGGGGGTAAGTGGTGATGACAGTGTTAGCCTTCTCACCGCCTCCTGCCCCACTGTGACCACTGTGTATGTCTGGCCTGTAAGGAACTCTAGTTTGGATCTGGCCCAGGGGGTGGGAGGAGTTTGACAACCTTAGTTTAATCCATACAACAGTTCTGATTGTACCAGTTCTGTAGATTTTCCCCCTGATTTTCCTATAAGCTACTTTACTCCCCCCCACTCCCATTTCATCCTTGCCTTATTTATTTGGCTTCTAATTTCCTTATCTAATCTCTTTTATCATTTCCTTGTACTTGTATACTAAGGGTTTGTTCTGATTGTCCAATGCTACATGTGTTCCCTTCACTATCGCCTGAAAATGTGCATGAAATACCACATTTTTTCTCTGCTGATGCCTAGGTCATGCCTTTCCAAGATGTGCCTCTATTTGTCTTAATCACTCTGTACCTGCTCTCTGCTTTGTGCAGTCCACATCACCTGCAACCATTATGTAAGAAGAACCATCCTTCCAAATGTTGTTGGTAAGTCTATCCAGAACCAGCTCAGTGGGCTTAATGGTGATCTTTGATGGGCTCCAAACGTGGCTGGGGAAACTCTGGTCTCTACTACATGTGCTTATAACTTGTGTTGTTGAGTCAGTAGAGAGGCTACATACTGTATGTAAATAGAGACTTAACTTTTCATTTCTATGCAGAGTTTGTCCTTCAGGCAAACTTGCCTGACTTCCATCCACATTTCTGTTTTTCCATTGGAAAAAAAATGTCATTCTCTGATGTAACCCTGTTCATGTTCTGCATGTTCTGCTATTGTTATGTGTGCTGTGGTGATTTTGTGTTCTTTCTCTGCATATTTGGAAGTTTGGGGGGTAGAGGGGAGGGATAGACTATTTGTGCCTGTTTTTACTGTTTGGAAGTAAAATGTGACAAAGGGCAAGTGGATCAGATATTTATGTTCACAGTGCCTCATCTCCAAGATTATAAAATGTTTAGGCCTGCACAAATGTAAAGTTATGCAAAAGTCACCGAAGGGTCATGCGCAGAAGTCTGCAATGGGTGGTCCTCAGTTCCAGCAAAAAGATGGTGAGGAGTAGGAGGAAGTCCAGAAAGGAGTCATTCCATGGATGGCCTTGTGGTCCATGAGCTTCT